ATCGGATAGGGATGAAATTGTTAAGGATAAACGTGTTTAAGAGTTTTTAAGAGTTTTAGCCAAATGCTTTATAAGATAATATATATATATATATATATATAATATAAATTTGTTTTAAGAAAACTTTGGGTAGCTGATTTATTGATCCAAGGATCTCGTAAACACATTGTAAATTCTCCTGGTTAGTAATGAATATTTCTCTCTCCCTGTGAACGTACACTATCACCTCTATAGTGGAACCACGTTAAATCTCATTGTCTCGATTTACGTTCCACTTTGATATTTGATCGTATACTTGATATAACTGCTAATTCTACATTTGTGGATCAGTATAAATTGTTAGACCGTAATATACAATATCTAGATCTCATTAATCCACATTTGTTGTATTAGGTCAATTTGCACTCCGATTTATTGTTATCACTTTAGAACCGCAAATCACTTTGTAATACGATATTTTAACTGCAACCGACTCTACACTTTCTCTATTTTAGTCACTTCCCCAAGCTTTTGACCATCTCAGATCTAAGCTTTAATTTATGTACATTGTTCAACCCTCGAGCTTAGGATTGTATGACATGAAATTAATGTAAGAGTATCATCGTTAAAAGTCGACATTATCCATGAGTGAGAACATAAACAATGCGTACATGTGATACAGGATCTGTCAAGCGATCCTCAAGAATAGTTTATTCTTGGACAAATTAAAACGCTTAAGAATCTTCTATATACTTCGTCTACGAAAATGATTGAATTTAATAATGTTTAAATGTTTAATTCAAAGTCGAGACATTGCCATAACCTTTTCTTGATGATGATCTTCATCTTGGTAATACCGAGTTTGTTCCATATGAACTTCTTTTTCAGATCTCTTGCTGTTTGTGGGTGATGTGTTCTCAGAGATTCTAAGGGTTTTTGCAATCTTTCTGAGCTCCCCTTTCAGAACTTTATTTGTACCTGTCTTTGGTAGCTCTTTCACAAACTCCACCTTCTTGGGAACCATAAATTTTGGCATATTTTTCTGGCAATATCTCAAGATTTTGGATTCCGATGTGCTTCCTGTATTTTTCAAGACCACGAAAGCACAAGGGCTCTCCCCCCACCGTGGGTGAGGCATCGCCACCACCGCCGCTTCGAGTATGGCGGGGTGTTTGAATAAAACCGATTCCAGTTCCACGCTACTGATGTTTTCTCCGCCGGAGATGATCACRTCTTTTGACCKGTCTTTGATTTCTAGRTATCCRTCGGGATGGATRACACCCACRTCGCCGGTKAARAACCATCCKTTYTKRAAGGCTTTTKCAGTCTCYYTTTCRTCTTTTAAGTACCCTTTCATGATGCTACTTCCTCTGAGAACGATCTCTCCCATCATCTTCCCATCATGCAGAACGCTCTCCATGGTGTCCTTGTTCTTCACATCSACGTCAGCGAGTGTGAGTATACTTACACCCTGACGAGCCTTCAATCTGGCTTGATGATCTCTAGGTAGCTGGTTCCATTTCGATTGCCACTCACACACAAGAGCAGGTCCGGTGGCCTCAGTGAGGCCGTAGGCATGCATGATGTGGAATCCAAGATCCTCCATCTTCTCCAAGAGGACGGCCGGCGGTGGCGCTCCTCCGGTGAGTATGTTGACTTTGGAGGTTATTTCACGACGTTCATGGGGCTTGGCCTCTAAAAGGATGTTGAATACAATAGGGGCACAACACATATGAGTCACCTTGTGCTGAGAGATGCTTCTGTACATTTCTTCAGCAGTGGTGTTGCGTATGCACACGTTCGTGCCGCCTCGTGCCGCTACACCCCAGGTGAACGTCCAGCCGTTGCAGTGGAACATCGGCAGTGACCAAAGGTACACGGCTTCGGTACCCATTTCCCAGCCTTGAATTAAGCTCATGGTGCTCAGAAAAGCACCACGGTGGCTGTAAACCACCCCTTTGGGATCAGAAGTTGTTCCAGACGTGTAATTCAGCGCGATGGCGTCCCACTCGTCTTCAAGATCTTCACCTATGTATCGAGGATTTCCATGGCGGATGAGTTGCTCATACTCCAACTCTCCAAGACGGATGCCCGTGGGCTTCTTAATGTCATCAATCACAATAACCAAAGGCATAACATACTCGGTTGAAGAGGTGCATTCCAAACGTGCCACCAGCAATCGCAGCGCCTCCGATGCTATGGGCACATACTCATAGTCGATAAAAAAGACCTTGGCTTCAGAATGAATGAGAATGGTGGCTATGTTTTTAGCATCTAGCCTGGTGTTCATTGCATTCAACACTGCTCCTGCCATTGGAACTGCGAAATGCATCTCATACAATGCAGGTACATTTGGTGCCAGTACAGATACCTGTTAAATCAATCAAACCCTAAATTAACAACAAGATCACATTACATATATAACCTTGCTGTATCCATTCACAAAAACAAACTAAAGTTCTTGTTTTTCGCTTAGAATCCATGAACCCATATATATTCGAGACTCAAAAAGCAAGACACTTACAACGTCGTTCTTGGTAACATTTAGCGAGCGGAGGGAGTAGGCGAGACGGCAACATCGTTCATAAGTTTGGCGCCAGTTGAAGCGAACTCCATCGTATATGACGGAGGTACGGTTGGAATAAACCACAGAAGCTCTCTTGATGAAAGTAAGAGGAGTAAGAGGGACATAGTTTGCTGGACACTTGGCTAATCTGTCCATTAATAGCTCAATAGATTCAAATTGATATAATTGTTGTTGCAGAAAAAAATGAAGTATATGATATTAATCGAGAGATGGAGATGTATGTAATAATGTTGTGGGAGGGAGAGGAAGAAGTGATGTATATAAATAGAGGTAAGAATCAAGTTATGTAGAGGGAAGGGATGGGAGCCATTGAGATTTGTTGGATAGAAACCAGGAAGATGCTATGATGTTGCAAGACAAATTCCCTATGATTTTGTGTCTGAACACATCTTTGACTTTAAGGCCTTTTGCATGTTTTTTTTTTCTCACGTCATCTTCATCAAATAATAAATTTAATTGGTTTTCTTATATATATATATATATATAGAGAGAGAGAGAACTAAATAAGGGTAAAAAACGGTAGAATCACGTGAAAAATCTAAAATCACGTAAAATCACATATGATTGTCATGCTGCTTGCATATTTTTGTGTTCACCGTTAGTCTAAAACCACATGTAATTTGGTCGTTTTCATGTTTTATTCGATTAGTGTTATTTCTATTATGTATATATGGATATATAGATTAGGTTATGTATGAATTGTATTGTAGAGATGATCATATAGTTTGGGTAATCTAGAATCTTAGAAATAAAGATGGAATAGAGAAGAAGGTCAAAGGTCTTAAAATAGGTTGTTATGGTCGTTACACACTTGAAAATGTGGACTGGCAGCGGAGTGGTTAAAAAATATATGAATCATTTTCTTATTTATTTGAAAACTATTATAAATTAGACTTGTATTAAATCAATTACATACAGTCTACCAAACCCCCTCCCCTCCCCTCTCTTTCTTTTTTTAGGATCACTTTTATTTCTTGAAAAATAGTGTACGTGAAGTTATGTTTTTTCTATTAATCTAAATATTTAACTCGCTATGTGAACCGACTAATTACAGAACGACCACCTGTTTTGCTGATGGTTCGGAGTCATCGCATTTAAACACCTATGACCACAAGAGGATATTTATTTATGTTTGGATTTGAACCTGAGACCTCGTTAAATTATGTTATCTATACTATCTTATAAAACATTTGACTAAAACTCTTAAAAACTCTTAAACTCGTTCATCCCTAAA